CCTTCTATATATAAATGATAGAATAATCGACACTAAATTCATTTAAATTACAAGAATAAAATATCAAACACGGAACCTTGAGTACAAAGATAAATGCTCTTAACCAACTGAGTAACAAGATAAACCCGTCTAAGTTTAGTGGTCGTATTGTAACCGAGTTGGTTGGCCTAATTGATTGGGAATCAAAGCATATATGCATGAAATCTTAAGTATGAGTCTTTCACTTGCCTCATTGACTTTTATTACCTTATTTTTCATATTACAAGCCTTGGAGTGAACCAAATTTCTCCCCTAAACCATCAACAAAAAGGGATGACTATCCTTAGATATTGTTGAGAGTTGTCCCACATTGGTGAGGGACAAGGTTTGATATGCTTATTTGATCTTGGGCTACTTCCCATATTGCCAATTGGTTTTATGGTGGAACCTTAATTTCATTATGGTATCAGAGCAAGGTTGTCCACGTGTGAAGCCCAACGGCCACACACACTTCACGTCACCCAGTTGTTGTCCACGTATAGGCTTGAAAATCCGCCACACGTGCAGGGGCGTGTTGAGAGTTGTCCCACATTGGTAAGGGACAAGGTTTGCTATGTGCTTATATGATCTTGGGCTACTCCCCATATTACCAATTGGTTTTATGGTGGAACCTTAATTTCATTAGATATTTTTGAGACCTCCCCTATGACTATGTGCCCTCTCTCTCCCCCAATGTGCCTACATCTCTGAAACTTTCTCTGTCGTCGGTCTCTTGCTCCGGCTTGGAGTCAGTCGGCGGCAGCCCAATGCCCTTCCCTCCTCGCCCTCCTCCCTCTTCCCTTTTCTTCCACCCTCTATTTCATATCCCTATCTCCCATCTCCCCCTGATTTTCGCCTTTCTTCCTCTTCTTCTTCTTCCACCATATGTTTCCTTACTTTCTCCCCTTCTCTCCTTCTCTTTCCTCCCGATTTCCCCATCTCTCCCTTTTCCTCCAACTCCACCACGTTTTTTCCCTTCTCCAAGCCACCATGGATGGAGATTTAGATTATATGGTTTTGCATTTAACTTTCGGTTGTTTTCTTTCTGAGCATTTTGTGTCTCAAGTTGCTCTGAGCTTGGTCTCAGTCATCCATGAGTTTATCTCATATTTGTTTTATTTTCATTGTTCCTATCCAAACATCGCTCCTCACCGTGAATCTTCTATCATCTACCCTTGCTGCTCTTTTCATTGGGTGTCTTCTCCTAGGATCTCCTCCGAAGGCGCACTTTGGTGGTTCATAGCATTTAAAGTGTATTTTGCACTATTTGGTAGGATTATGGGAGCAGTCGTAGAGCGGGTAGCTTGCCTACCTCCATTTTCCGTTCATCCATTTGGTTCTTTGGCCTTTCTTCCGGGTGGTGGCAACGGATCTGCGATGGCGGTGCGGCTGTTTTGGTAGAGGTGGTTGTCTAGGTTTTTCGGTTTGGTTGCTGCTATGGGCTGCTCACTTTGGTCCTTCTCATTGTAGTTTTTCGTTTATGGAGTTGGGCTTTTGCTTGGCCATTTTGTACTCTCTTTTGGAGTTGTTCTTACCTTGTATTAGTTTTCTCTTCAATGAAATTTACTTTGATTGTCCAAAAAAAATTATATATATCATATTACAAGTACAGTATAAAAATGCGATTTTGACGTGCTTTTAAACCGTGATGTCAAAATGTTTGGCATTGAAAGTAATTTGATATTGGGCGTGGCCCGTGCCTAAAAGATTGAATTTGGCCTTAGTTTTGGGCTCCTTTCAATGTTCTCCCGCATTGACGGTGTTGATGACCTAAACCGATGTTTACACAATAGAGAGAGTTTTGAACATGTACGAACACATTGACATTTTCAATATGGTGGCAAAAGCCTTGCATCTCACAGCCTTTAAAAGCCATGTCCCCAGAACGGGACTGCTACTACGTGATTCAATCTAAGAGTAAGGTACTTCGGTTTGTGATTCAAGTTTATGTTTTATGAATATTAAGTTGCTTTGATTCAACCTCAAACGATTCTCTTGTAAACAAAACAAGTGAAGTTTCTGATGAGTTGTTTCGTTACTCATGTTAATCTTTGCAAAGTAATGATATGAAGTATATTTCGTAACTTCGTCGGATCAAAGACATGTGTGAGTTGGATCAAAGACTATTGATTTCTTCCAGTAACTTCTCTTTTCTAAGTCCATTGTCCATACCATGTTTGTCGAGGCAGAGCCAATAGATGTACTGTTAGAAACATCGACCGTAGACGGATGCATTCCTATGCAACTACCTTGAAAATAAGAACACAAGCTCTTGGATCGGTTTGACATGAGGGAACCATCATATCAACTGTTTGGTCACCGCCATTAGTTGTTACAATCCCCGACACCACTATTATGGGCTTTTCACCGTTTTAGTTCCATAATTTTGAATACTAAATGATGTGACAAATTGAAAAACTAGTTCCAATTGTTACACTGTCTTAGTTAACAAAAACGAGAAACATCAACCTTGTGTTATGCAAATGTTGGGGGAACTCAAGAAAACAAAAAAAAAATTAACAAACAATGTCACAAGTCACAGCTCGGACATAGATCTATAATTCGAACATCATTGCGACTAGTTCTAAATCAATCCAACACTATTATTAGGAATGTCAAAACTATATAATAGTGTTGATTATATTAAAAAAACTAACATAGTAGCGTCATCGTAACAAACCAGGTATTCTCCATATCTAGGTTTTGTTTTTGGGGCAAACAAAACAAATCATATCATCATTCCATCACTCGACATCTACTTTGGGATCTGGTTTTTTGATGCTAAAAACATTTATATTCTACTCAATTTTATGAGACCTAGCCAACGCGACCAAAGTGAAAGAGCATCCATCCAAAGCTTAATCCGGGTATGCAAACGGATCTCAGTTTTTACTCTGAGTCCCGATGACACCATTTTTGTCTCTCCACCTTTCCTTGATATATTGTGCAATCCAACATCGATCCAAAAGTTGTACAAGATAAGGACACACATGATTTTTGATAAAACGGATTTGCTGTTACTGTGGATCCCAAACTACTTAATATAAGAGTATTTGAAAAAAAAAAAATCTTATATAATTTTGAATTAGTAGCTCAGAACTTTTATTATTTTAGTAAACTCGTTTCGTGTAAGTCATTTTTATAAGGAGAACCACACTTTTTCTTCCCTATTGGGATTGCTTATTAATTGGTTATAAGGGGATCAGAATACGGAATGGTACGCCACATTTGTTATATACATTAAAAGATTTTTTTTATGTCACTTAGTACTACGTCTAGTGATATTTCTCTTCACTTATAAATGAGAGATCTTAGGTTCGATTCTCACCAAAGACGAATTTGAACCACATAATTGCTAGCACACTCCCACCCCTTTTAATTAGATAATATCGGTTGTTAAAATAATTTTTTAATTTTTTTGCCCTTTTTGTGGCTCGTCTCTGCCGTTTTGCGGCTGCCAAAGTCCGCAGATTCCGGTCGGCTCCTCGGCCGGCTCACAACCCTGTTTTTTAGCCAGAACTTTTTCGGTTGCTTTTGTTTGTGTCGGTTAAAGTTGGAACGCTATAGATCGTGGCCGTTGAAGCGGTGGAGCGATTGGGTCGATGAGTTCGAGGTTTATTGGGTTCAAAGTTTTCAGTGGGTATCTCTATGTGGTGGTGCTGGGTCTGCGCTGCCGTGCTGGGTGTACTGAGGCGGATCAGTGGTTATTTTCCGACATTCTGATCCCGACATCTTGTGCTCTTTACGTAATTTGCGTAAGGTTGGTGAGCTTAAGGTGTAATGTCTCTGATACCCCTGTCAGGTTTTACCCCTTTGGACTAAAATATTTGCTGTCTCCAGTCGTTTGTGTACTGTGGTAGGAATGTGTGTAATTTCAAATTCTCAAATCCCTGAGTTTGTATGGTATATTGTTTCAAGGTAGATTGTCTGCCCTTCTGTTTGGGTGCCATTTTCATTCTCTCTTATTTTATACGGTCACGATTAAGTCACGTTAATATTTTATATTAATTTTTTTATAGAGATAATAAGACAAAAAATAATAAGAATATAAAATGTTGACGTGGCTTAATCGTGACCGCACAAATAATAAGGGATGGAAAGAGCAACAGGAGAGCAGACAATCTGCCTCCATGTTGTTTTCTGGGCTGAAGTTTCTATGATATTGGATCTGTCATTTTTTATTTATTTTTTATTTTTTACTGGGATTAGGTCTTCTAACAGAGAAAATAAGAGGTTATAATTACTGAAACGGGGTATGAATTTTTAGATATGTGCAGTCACTAGGAATTACAGGGGAAAGTTAATGTAATTATGGACCTTTTGTCAATGGAAAGTGCATATAAATTATTTATAACTATCTTTCATCATACTATTATTTTGTTCTTTTTACCACAATTTTTCTGTCAATTAGTGATGAACTAGCAAAAATTGCGCGTATGACATTGCGGGTTTTAAAACTGTACAGAGCATGTTGAAAGTTGTAAATGTATACAAGATAGACAATACTAAATACATGTGAAATTGATCTCGAACATGTTTTGGAATGTTGTCTAATTCAGGGCAAAATTGATCTCAAATCATGAAAGAGAGACAAAAGCAGATCACCCTTGTACTGTATTGCACAATGATGGTTTGCATTGAAATTTTAAAACATAGGTTGTAGGAGAAATTTTTTGATAAGGTTGTCTGATTAGGTCAATTCTCATATACTATATTGGACTATCGTGGGATCGAGTTGGACTAAAGTATAAAGAACTTATGCTTTTGTGAGGTGTTCCACAGATGATTTGGTTAAGTCGTATGATTTTCTAATGAAGTTGTTTTTTGACCGAGAAAAACAAAGTAAAATGTTTCAAAAATTGAAATGATGTTATTTAGTCTGAAAATTACATTTCTTTGGCTTCACTTTCCTGATACATTTTATATAGCTAGCCTGATTAAAGATTCTAGCTACAACAAAATAATCAACGTTGTGAAGAAGTTCATGTAAATCCCTTGTCCTCCCCCTCTTGAAAAGATCTCTGAGAAATGGTTGCAGATTGGTGTCCAGGAGATGTACATGTTTCTGAACTAGCATGGTGTTTAGATCTCCTTGACCCTGATGGACTCCCAATGGACGAGTCCTTCGACTTCTTCCGTCGCGTTTTCTTAGGGATGTCCGGTAGGTTTTGCGGCGACTTGCTGCCTTGACTTGGATCCGTGGATTGCTGGATGCTCCTAGTACTACTGTCCGATATCTCCCTATTCTTAGAAGACCTCCTTGTATGCTTAACTTTATCTGATTTTTCCTTCTTGGGGGAATCCGTTCCACCACCTCCGTGCCCGTTCGATGAATGCCGCCTTGACGACTTGGGTAAATCCGGCATGTCATTCGCCGGTGACCTAGCACCCCTTGAACTTTTCTGGCTTGAAATCTACATACATTTACAACATTAACATGTTAACCGAAATGTGTTTAGACACAAAACTACACATTTACTGATGCTCTCTAAGCAAATGCGTCAATATTGCGTGTTAAAAAAAAAAAAAAAAAAAAAAAAAAAAAAAAAAAAAAAAAAGAGGGTACCTTCAGAGACCCATTTGACCCCATAATCTTCTTTCATATCTCCATTGCCTAAAGGTGCTGACTGTTGAAATCCTGGTGGAGCTTGAAACTCATTCATCTGCATGAAAAATAAAACCCACATGATGGTCTCGTCTAGCCGCTATCCGTCTTCACTTTGTCAAAAAATAGGTTACGAGCATAATTCGAATCTCGTGGACTATAAATGTTGTTAAAAAAGAAAAGCAAAAATGGTTAATTACCCAGCTTGGAGAACTAGCAGTTGAAGGGCCATCCCATCCTATATGAGCAACATGCTTTACATCTGTAGGAAGCCCAATCTGCATTTCTTGGTCTTTGTTATCATCTGCCGAAAGGATTGCCATTTCTTTGAGAAATTTATAAAAATGACCCTAAAAATCACTCTAATTGCAACCTTCTTCCAATTTTACACGTACCAAAAATTTGAGAAATGTATCTTAGGCCCTTCAAGAGGCCCTTCATCTTGTTGTTATTTGCATCTTTCACCACCATCTTGCCATTATTTGCGTCCTTCACCACCATCTTGCTATTCTTTGCATCTTTCGCCGCCATTCTAATTAAACAAATTAATTAAAACTACTCTTGGAAATTCTCTACTAGATGTAGAATCCAAAATTTGTCCTCCAATTCTGTAACATTGACAATAGAAGAAGAAGAAATTAATAATCGAAAATCAAAATACACAATATGAAAGGGCTAATGCAAACAGAACTGCAATTTGTCTTTTTTTATGTGTTCAAATCTGACAGATGACAGTTTATTGATAAAAGAAACAACAACAACAAAAAACCATATTCTTTTGCGTTTCGATTATGATACCTTGATGCAAGGCTGAATTTTACAGGCCCGTACTGAAGGAGGCTGCATTCAGAACTATAATTTTTTTCCCTAAGAAGCTAAGAACATTCACTTTCTTGTATTAATTTGCAAGATGGGGAAAACTTTAGAAAGAAAGGGAAAAATGTGTTCAAAAACCAACAACAGCTTTTGACAAATGTGGCATTGAGGGTTGCAGTGATGAGAAAAAGAATGAACTGGAAAACAAATTATGCTTAATTAAAGTAAACCTATTTTTTATCTCGTTGATTCGATGGTAATGCATTCTTCTTTCTTCCCTAATCCCATGATTGTCAACCAGAAGTCGTCGTATTTTTCGGCCAGAAAATTAGAGTGAAAATAAAATCTTTGACGTGCTAAATATAGGGGAGGGGGAGTTTTAACGGGTCATTTTAGAGGTTGTAATGAATGGTGGAAGCTTATGAATTTCCATTGTTTGTTAGCTATTTCTTTGGGTGGAAATTACTTATGGAGGACATGGCTACATCTAGATATATAACACTTGCATAAATAGCGGATTTGTAGAAAATTAAAGCAAGATAAGTGCTATGATTAGTCGAATATGCGTTTGTGAACTAATTTTAGTCGTTAGTACATGTGAAACCTATAATGCATCAAAATGAGATGGCACATGTGTGTTTCTAAGTTCGGCTTACGCTAACATCCTCGTGTTTACTTGGTCAAGACTCAAGTCCATTACTTGTTTTTAAAGTTTGCTCAATGGTTTGCACGTTGACCATGTTTAGGAGTCACAGTATAGTTATGAATGCAGCAGTAAAAATTTTGTACTACGGAAGTTATGAGCCCCCAAAACTTTATATATGCTTTACAAATCACACATTTCTTATGTTCATCTTTCGTGAGAAGTTACAATCATTGTAAAGAGAGTAAATACCATTTACGTTGTCGGTTTTTTATTTGTCACTAAGTTGATCTGTTTGAATCCGATTTTGCATCGATTTGTTTAACTGTGAGGGCGTTGGATTTCAATATTTTTACTATATATTACTATTGGATTATCGTTAGGAATTATCTTGTGGAGATATTTGACGAGGTCAAAATGCATAGAATATGCTCTGTGAGAGGCTTTATCCCTTGAATTGATAAAGTCAATGTGGTAGGCCAACCTGTTAGGTTTATCCTTTGAGTTGATAACAAAGATTAGATAATTCCAAGATAATTGGATTATTGCATGTGGTCTCTAGGGAAGTATGATTCGTGTTGGAGAATGTGGTGTCCAGCATTTCATGTGGGGTTGGAAGATAAAATCATCCAGGATGGTTTTTTTGTTTCTTTGTTTTTTTTTTTGTTTTTTTGTTTTTTTTTTCAAATGATATATTTATTTGATTATAATAAATAAGTTATATTTTCCGCAAGAATATTAAAAAGAAATTCAGGTTCCATACAATCTCATTTAAGGTAACCACCAACATCTGAGACGTAAACTGCTTCATATGCACGATTGTTCACCCTATGGGTAAAACCAAACACAACAGACTCAACAGAACTAGTAAGGGATTTGTGACATGGTGATCGAGTATATCAGACTTGGGTATCAAGGGATTTGTAACTATAAATTTGAGGGATTGTAACGTAAGCATCCCTTGAACTCAACAAACAACTCAAAAGCTATATACGAAAACTCTCACTCCTGAGAAAAATACTAATTATCATAACCCTCTCATCAACAGACGTTTGGATTAATAGTACTATGTTAGCAACCGGCAACATCTTCAGGTTGAATTAACAACACTGCTTATGTGTCGGTTGGTTACCTATCCAGATTTCGGCGTGCAAAAAGTTTCTAATTATTTTGCCTAAAGGGGTTTTTATTAGCTTCTCTCTGAAGTGAGGTGTTATCAGGTTACTTCATGTTCGGCACATTAAAAGTCAAACCAGTTATTAAATTTCGCAGTGAGTGATCTAGCAACCTTGTCTTTAGGTTCTAGAACCCAAGGCCGAGACGCGTTCCTTCTTTGGCCGTAATCGCTTAAGTGCAGAAGTAAGCAACACATTTGACTCCACCACCACCACATCTATTCTATTTGCCCGAGCCTGGTTGCGAGTTGGCACGCACACATCACAAGAAAAACGTAATTAGCTCAATAGTT